TGTCTGAAGGGCACTGTGGGGCACTGGAAAGACACTAGCTCTTGTCTTCATTACAGCACTTCTTATTTGGAAGTTGTATGTTTACATGCGCACACATACGTTTATCCATGTGTTGTAGATCCTTAGAATACATATCAAGTGGTTTCTTTCTGTATTTCTAACCTCTAACATTGTTATGCCTGACCCTTAAAAATATGGTCAATGTGGGACTGGGAAGGTGGCTCAGTGGTAGAGCACTGGGTTCGATTCCTCAGCACCACATAAGCAAAAAGAAAAAAGCCGGAAGTGGCGCTGTGGCTCAAGTGGTAGAGTGCTAGCCTTGAGCTGAAGAGCTGAGGGACAGCGCCCAGGCCCAGAGTTCAGGCCCCACGACCGGACCCAAAAAAAAAAAATATGATCAATGTTGTTGTCCTTGCTACTCAGAAGGCTGAGATCTGAGGATGATGGTTTGTAGCTAGCTTGGACAGGCAAATTGTGAGTTTTTTTTTTAAATTTCTGGTTAACCAGCAAAAAGCCAGAAGTAGAGATGTGGCTCAAGTGGTAGAGTGCCAGTCTTGAGTGAAAAAGCCAAGCAAGAGCATCAGGCACTGAGTTCAAGCCCCAGTACCAGCACAAAAATTAAAATAACCATCTATGAAAATGTGAATAGATGAATCAATTAGTATTTTTTTTTTGTCAGTCGTGGGGCTTGAAAAATGTGAATAGATGAAAAAAGAAAGAACATACTTCTTGTATGCTTTTTTTCCCCTAAAATTACAAACATTTGGTGTAATAGCAGGGTTGTGTCACAGTGTGCCATAATTCTATGCTTCTTGGTGATCTGCTATGACTTTTATTATTATTGGCATATATAAGCTTTAAATCAACCAGAAAAATACCATCTGTTGAGGACGCAAGACAGTGTGTGTAAGATGTATGAAATATATCCTCTGTCTCCTGTGTCCTCTGTTACATTTTCTTGGCAGCTGCATCCATTGGTTGTAGAGTGGAATGACAGGATGCATTTCCTGGAAGCTCATAAGATAAAAGGTGGAGCTTTGGCAGGAGGTAGATGGCAGAGAGGGACTGTTGACTCCTATTAATGTAGTAGAATTTCAACGATTTTAATAGTGAAGAGGCTTCCCAGCCTGCAATGTCCACCATGAAAGTTCTGTGTTTGAATTGTTGAAATAGTTGAAATAGGAGGAATTGCTTGAGTTTTAAAACTTGACATGTTTCCCCTCCCCCTCCCCCCTTGCTCCACCCCACGGCCCCTCCCCTCCCCGCACAGTTCCAGGGGCCTTTGTCCAGGCACTCTACTCTAACCAGGCAGCTAAACTCTCTAATCAGGGCCAGCAGCATCAGTACCACCTGCAAGGTCCTTCGAGACACAAGCTGGGATCAGAGTATAGTTGCAGACACCTATAATCCTAACACTCAGTGGAGGCTGAGGCAAGAGGATCAGGAGGTTGAGGTGAACATTGATGGGCTCCTCGATTGATTTCCTAAGCTGAATCACCAGGGTGGGTCCATTTCACCAACATGTCCTGGTTGTGCAGATAGCATGTTAAAGTTTGAGTATTGTGACTTAAACTACTAGCTCTTCTTTATCCTAATCCTTTGCTTTGAGCCTATTTGATCAAATAAATTATTTCTAGAGTTGCTTGCAAAGCAGAGGTGTGAGGCATCTAGGACAGGTACAGTGGCCAGGGAATGAGCAGGGGACACTGAGCAGCACTTTCTTGGAAAACTGGAGCAGGGTTTTCTCTCTTTTGGTGCAATTGATGGTCAGTTTTAGGAAGTATCGGTGTCCTGGATGCTTAGGGGTATCCCTGACCCATCCTGTGGCATGCAAGTAGTATCCTTCAAGACTAATAATGTCTCAAGACATTGTGAACTATGGGGTCAAGCTTGAAGTGAGGCCATGAGAGAGAGGACTATTTTATAGAGGTTGAGGAATGGTCTTCATACCAGGAGAGGTAAAATATGCCTAGACAGACATGAACTGAATTTTATTTTATTTCTCCCTTCCTTCCTTCTTTGTTTCCTTGCTCCCTTCTTTGTTTCCTCCCTCCCTCCCTCCCTCCCTTCCTTCCGTCCTTCCGTCCTTCCTTCCTTCCTTCCTTCCTTCTTTCCTTCCTTCCTTCCTTCCTTTTTTCCTTCCTTCCTTCCTTCGCAGCAACTCGTGGTATATCCCAGGCTACCTTTGAGTTTATGATCTTTCCACATAAGCCGGTGAATACTAGGATTTTATTCATATACCACGATGCTCAGCTGTAGTACCTCTTTTATCTTTACAACAAACCCACGAGGAAGGTATTATGCCCCTCACTTTTTGGATGGAGAAACCATATAGAGATATGACAGAGCTATGATAGAGAACTTGTTAACAGAGGTTTAGAGCCAGGTCTATTTTTACCATTCTGCTATATGGCAGAGCAAGAACAAGTGTGCACTTCATTTTTCTCCTCCTCCTTCCTTGTCTACCCTTCTTCTTTCTCTCCTTCTCCTTCATTCTTATAGTGCTGAAGATGGGATTCAGGGCCTTGCACCTTCTAGACATTCTTTAATGAGACTATATCGCCAGACAGCACTTGGATTTGTACACTTCTCTTTCCATCCATCCACGGGTCTGTGGGTCTTTCCCTGTCTTCAAAATCTAGAGTGAACAGAAAGGAAGAAATAACCAAATATTGTCCAGAATCCAGAACTGATTTTCCCAGCACTTTTGCTGGCTGGCAAAGCGGACATCAAACAGGGCATCTTCTTCCATGCTTCCCCAGATGTTGCCCTTCCCCTCTGCTGGCTTCCTCCACCCCTCCCCGCTGCACATCTGCCCCAGCCCAGGGCCTAGATATCAAGAAAGCTCTGCCTGGAGCTGCTCACAGCCCAAAGGGAGCTGAACGTGGTGGGTGGGGAGTCAGGGACAAGAAACAGGACCTGGTTGGAACTCATATGAAGAGCCAGGTAGCCTAAGGAGCAGTATCTGGTGAGCAGGGGGCAGTGCATGGTGTTAGGCTCTCTGGATCTGTTTCTCTGCTCAGAAATCGAACAGATGGGGCCACACGGGTTCCAAGGCTATACCTTGGAATCCTGTTAAGATTCCAGATGTAGCAAATCATAGCTACCCCTAAACAGCCTTTTGGCTGGGCTCATCTGTTATTTGGCCCTTGGCTCTATTGCTTAGAGATCCCAAGGTACTTATTTAACATCTTTGGACCTTAATTTTGCACATCTGTAAAATGGAATTTATAGTATCCACTGTGTAATAGTGAAACAGGGAAAAACACAGTACAATGGTAAAGTGACACCCTTTGGTAGGCCTTCATTGAGTCTAGACTCCTTCATCAGATCATCCTTGTCACCTACTTGACAACCGAAAAAAACTTTATTAATAGAAACATTAAGTCAGGGATGACATGAGAAATAGCTGTGTGTTTCACAGATTCACAACCAAGGTTAAATGGTCACAAAGGAGATCAGAGCCTTTTATTTACTACATTTTGTGAGATTTGTGGGCTGTGTGTGTGTGTGTGTGTGTGTGTGTGTGTGTGTGTGTGTGTGTGTGTATGCTGGTACAGAGGCTTGAACTAAGGGCCTGGGCACTGTCCCTTAGCGTTTTTACTCAAAGCTGGCACTCTACCACTTGTGTCACATATCCACATCCAGACTTTTGGTAGTTAATTAAAGACTTTCATGGATTTTTCCTGCTTGGGCTGTCTTTGAACTGAAATCCTCAGATTTCAGCCTTCTGGTGGCCTGAGCCACCAGCTCCTGGCTTGTTTTATGCTTTCAATCTTTCAAGTAAGGAATGATTTTTCAAGATCATAAAAACTGTGTATATTTAGGAACTACTCATTACTCTTAGAGCTGTGGCTGAATCTTGTTTTCACAATCATATTAATGTAGATTAAGACCAAGATAACACTGTTGTTGTTGTTTTTGGTATTATTCAGGGTTGAACTCAGGGCCTTCTGCTTGCTAGGTAGGTACTCTACTACTTGAGCCACTGTGCCAGACAGTTTGTTACTCCTGATATTTGTTATTTGCTTGATGCTTCAGCTGGCCTGGACTCCTATTTGTGTCTCCATTTGTTGCTGGGATGACAGGGATGTACCACTTTGCCCAGTCATTGGTGGAGATAGAGTCTTGCAATCTTTCCTGTCCTGCTTATTCTGGAACAGTGAATCCTCTAATATCAGCCTCTTAAGTAGACGGGGTTACAAACTTGGGCTAATATGCCCAGTATAACATTGTGCTCTTTGGGAGTATGTTGCCATGCTAATTCTTGAAGTTGCCATACTAATTCTTGTCGAGAAGAGCTGTAATAGGTTGCCTCACTCTGGTCTGAGACTGGTATGAGGGACTCAGAGCTCCTTGCTTGTTTTTGGAGAACAGTAACTCCTGTGATGAGCAGTAGTGATGACAATGGATTGGTGTGGCAGCCACGAGCCCAACTATACGTTGATGCTGAGTAAAATCCCCCACTTCAAACCTTCCCATCCCAGGTTGTCAGAAGGCTATACATGAGGATCTCTAGAAATCGAGTCTTGTTATCCAAGTGGATTGGTTTATCCTTACTCGTTTGCCCTGCACTTAGAAATACACTCTTTGAGTCACATTCACCCTGGTGTGGGGGGCAGTGAAGAGGTGATACAGAGAGCAAAGTCACTACACAGCAAGCAAAAGCCCATCAGAAAACCCACGATGGAAAAGCACGCATGTGGATGTGACTGCATCAAGACCCCAAAGACACATGAACAATAAAGGACTTGTTTGCTCAGGAGAGAAAGTAGGTCAACATCTCCGGAAGGAAGTTTTTGGTGCTCCTGGCTACTGCCGGGCAGCTACCCATCAGTGGCAAGGCTGCACCCGTCCAGGTTATTGATTCTTTGTGTGGCGGCTTCTTCTCCTAATGCCATTTTTGCATGGGCTTTACTCAGAGAGGGAAACAGAATGCCCATGGGAATGTGAGAAGGCTTGTGATGATTTTTGTCTTTCTCCCTGCTTGTGTCTTACAGCTTACTTCTGCTTCCTCCTGACTGCTCTGGGCGTGACAGCTGGAGCCCATCGCCTGTGGAGCCACAGGTCCTACAAGGCCAAGCTGCCCCTGAGGATATTTCTGGCTGCTGCCAACTCCATGGCTTTCCAGGTGGGCTGGAGGGGCAGGGTCTTTTCTGCCTAGGAGAACCAGTGCAGATGGAGTGTGCGTGGACTAATTACCTTCCCTTGAACCCCCTTTCCGCCCTCCCGTCCCACTTAGACTCAGTGCTCTAGCTCAGTGCTCTCAGTCTGTCCCAATTTGTGTTTTCACCCTCCTGTAGCTTTAGATACATGAATATGTCCCTGAGGATTTTGTGTGTGCTCATCTGTGGAGGAGGAAAGGAGCTTCCCCCATTCAGCATCTAACCTGTGATCATATCCAGTGGCCCTCCATGGTTATCCAGCTTTTGCCAAACACCAAGTTCTGTGCTTAGCATGCTATATGTTTGTCACATTGTTCTTGTGCCAGTTCTGGGTTCTGTCTCTTAGCATTTTTTTTTTTTTTGGTCAAGGATAGAACTCTACTATTTGGGCCATATACCTACTTCAAGCATTGTGTTGGTTAATTGGTGATAAGGGTCTTACAGGTTTTCTTACTGGGGCTGGCTTTGAACTGTGATTCTCAGATCTCAGTCTCCTGCGTAGCTAGGATTACAGGCATGAGTTGCCAAGCACCTGGCTTGTCTATCACATTTTATTCTTACAGGTACTCTATTAGCTAGAAGTTATGTGGACTCCCATTTCCCAGATGAAGAAACAGGCTTACTGAGGTTAAAGAACTGGCTCAGCTTGCGGAGCTAAAAATGGATATCTCCAGGATAAGCAGATACAGGTCAGCCTGACTCCAAATCCATCACTCCTACCAAACCCGAGTTTGCCCTACAATATCATAACGGGAAGACAGTTTTATCTGGAGTTAGAAGACTCAGAAACTTTATTCTGATGGTTGCTAGCTATGAATCAATCCTCATCGCCTGTTTGTTCATCTGTAAAAATAAGACCGATGGCTTTATTCCCAAGGTTGTTAGGCAATTCTTGAAAATTGTAGGGAGCTATAAAAATCTAAGAGATGATCATGCACTAGGGCTGGACAATAGCCTTTAAGAAAATTGCATGCTAGAAAATTTCCTGTCACCTTGAACACTTTCTGATTGTGGATTTCTGTTTTTTTCATTCCTCACCTGATCCAGGCATTGCATGTGGAGTAACTTGTTTTCAGTTTTTACCCATTTATGTGTGCAGATGATTCCCATTCACCCACTGGGAAGGAATGGTGATTTCTAAAATTGCTTTAGGGCCCAGGCAGCCTAGTACCTCCCCTGTGACTCTCAGACATGCAACTGAAGTGACCAGTTGTGACCCTATCTACAGTGGGCCTCTCCATCCCCACCAGAAAGCCTAACCATGAGTGTTTCTCAAGGGCTCTTGTGGTAAGAATGCATTTTTCCATTTTTAACTTTTCTGTGCAGCTGAGCTTTCATAAAGTAAATAGGATATGACATAATCAATTAGGGAAATAGAATTAGGATGGGTGGTAGCTATGGAGATACACTGGTTATAATTTAAGCTCTGTCAGGATAAGTACTATGGTCCTGGAGCATAGGCTGTTATACACCAAGGAATAGCTGGAAGCCCCTTGGAACTGTGTTCACCCTTGACAATGTGAACAATGCTGCCTCTTATTTGGAGTTCAACCATTGTCATATTTCAACATTGTACTTTATCATAACATAGAAACTGATGACTTAGGTCTGCGTTGCCATTCTGAAGACTTAATAATTTTCAATTGATTTTGTTCAAGCAATCAATAGCATTTAGATTCAAATTACACATTGATGTAGTTATAAAACGCTCATGTTATTGGATTTTTTTAACAAGATAAATAACTTGTAACTGAGAACCTAACACTTTGATTTTTCTTTTCCCAAAGAAATTGTTTATAACTCAGCATTTGAAAACAAAGGTTTCCTTAACAAAGCATCACATAACAGAGTATCAGACTGAAATTTTACATACTGGAAGAGAAAGAAGATGGTAGCAAGATGCATTTAGGTCTTGAATAAAGTTCTGGCTCTACCATTTGCTAAATATAGGACTTTATGCCAGTCTTTTATTTTATTTTTTGTCTGCAAAAGTAGCCTAATAAAATTGACCCCATAGAGTTACTGGGGAGATGAAGTAATGAATAAAAAGTACCAGGTAGCTAGATGTGGTAGGGTACACCTGTAATCCTAGCACTAAAGAGACTAAGGAAGGAGCTGAGTTCAAGGTCAGCCTGTGCCACATAATGGGAACACTTTTTCAAGCTTATAGTATCAGTCTAAGTGTTGTTCTTCCTCTATTTTTTTTAGGTCATGGGGCTTGAATTCTGGGCCTGGGTGCTGTCTCTCAGCTCTTCAGATAAAGGCTAGTCCTCTACCACTTAAGCCACAGCACCACTTCCAGTTTTCTGGTTACTTATTGGAGATAAGAGCCTGCTCGGGCTGGCTTTGAACCACGATCCTCAGATCTCAGCCTCCTGAGTCACTAGTATTACAGATGTGAACCACCAGCACCTGGCTCTTCCTTTTACTTTTTAGGAGATTTGGCAGACTTTCTTATCACTTCTAATTTCTAGTACCGAATGCACAGTGACTATTAGATACATGAAAAATCACTGAATACTTTTAAAAATATTTTTTAAGGGGCTGGGAAGGTGGCTCAGTGGTAGAGTGCTTGCTTTGCATGCATGAGGCCCTGGGTTCGGTTCCTCAGCACCACATAAGCAAAAAGAAAAAAGCCAGAAGTGGCGCTGTGGCTCAAGTGGTAGAGCGCTAACCTTGAGCTGAAGAGCTAAGAGACAGAGCCCAGGCCCAGAGTTCAGGCCCCACGACCGGACCCCCTAAAAAAATTTTTTTAAGGATTATCAAGTTTGAATTTAAGAGCCATATTTGTGAATTTTTTTGTTTTTATTTTTATTTATTTATTTTATTTGTGAACATACTGTACAGAGGGGTTACAATTACATGGGCAGGATAATGTGTACATTTCTTATCAAGCATTGCAGCCTCCTCCTTTGTTTACCCTTCACCTCCTTTCCCAGCCTCTCCCCTCCCCCAACCCAATCCTTCCCCTCCTCCCAATTTTTTTTGTTTTTAAAATTCATTCCACAGATATTCACTAAATACCTACTGTATTTCAGCGACAGTAGGTTTAATCATCCTTGCCTTCTTAAGAGTTTTTCCATCTAGCGGAATATTCAAATTCCCACAATTTCCCAGTGGAAATTTTCAGTGCTTCATGGCTCTGGGGGGTTGTGACAAGGTCAACTAGACTACATGAGGTAAGCAGAGCTGGCTTCCATATATAATGTCAGTGGGAGCAGTCAGTCTGGACCACTAACCCCAGGAGGAAAGTAACAGAATGGGCTGTGATCTGCCAGTGAAGAATATCGACCCCACACATAGACTTAATGCAGTCATTGAGTTAGCATCCCTTTGATGTCCTCCTGAATTTTTTTTAAACAATAAAAAAGATAGTTTCAAAGCTTTTCCCTCTCTTTTCTTCAACAGGATGCTTGTGTGTTTGGCCAAAATGGACAAGCTTGTGATAATTGTCTCTGTTTTAGCCTTAGCACGCCTTTTGCTGGATACTACATACACGATCATGAATACTTAGAACAACCTTAAAGTTGGGACTTAAACATCCTAACCTCTTTTCTCTTTCTTCTTTACAAGATGGATTTATTTATAGGACAGGGAACAATAGCAGGAAAGGTGGAGGTACTTTTAGTGTGAAAGGATGAGTTTGTGCAGGAATGCTTGACAAAGACCTATCTGTCTTGCTTTATCCTTATCTTCAGCGGAGCCCTGAGTTTATCTCTAGTCCATCCTCCTTCCTTCCAGAAGGATGCAAGTCAATGTAAACATTGCTTGCCTAATGCTTTACAGTTTTCTCCTAGTCAAATGTGGACCCTGTGTGGGATTCTTGTTATTCAGTAGTCTCTAAGAGTTCACTTTCATGAGCAGGCTCCACAATTGGCTTTTGTGCTCTCATGTTTGTGCACCTATCTTTGCCAGCTGTGCCAGCTCTCTTGTGAACTCAGTCCACCTGCTAGATACTTCAGCTTCCTCCCCGAGAGCCTACTTTTCTTCATCGTAAAGAGGCACAAGAATTAAAGCTGAAAGTGAGCTTAAGTGATTTACTCTAAATCCTCTTATTTTACAAAGTATAAACAAAGTCCCAGAGAACAATAATGACTTGTAAGAGGCCCCACAATTAGTTACTTGATAAATTTAGGCTGGAGCTTGAGTCTTCTGACTTGCAGGCTGGGAAATCTTTGAGGTCACCCACTGAAGTTCTTTCGTAATGCTCTGCTGTGTGATTTGCAGACAATATACGATTGAATAAGTTGGGTCTTATTTTTTAAATCTTCTGTGAATAATTTTTTTGGGTGTCTCTGTACTGGAGATGGAACCCAGGAACTCAGGCATGCTAATCAAATACACAACCACTGAGATACACTCCCCAACCCCCAACTCTCTTTTCATTGGTAAATTTAGACCATTCACATTTAAAGTGATTATTTATATACTTGGATTAATATCTATGATGTTTCTGTTTTCTGTTTCTTGTGCTGGTTCTTACTTCCCACTTTTGTCTTTTTTTTTCTTTTGTTTTTGTTGTTGTTGGTTGTGGGGTTTGAACTATGGGCCTGGGCGCTGTCCCTCAGCTCTTCAGCTCAAGGTGAGCACTCTACCACTTGAGCCACAGTGCCACTTCTGGTTTTCTGATGGTTTATTGGAGATAAGAGTCTCAAGGACTTTCCTGCCTGTGCTGGCTTTGAACTGCAATCCTCAGATCTCAGCCTCCTGAGAAGCTAGGATTACAGGCATGAGCCACCAGCGCCCAGCTTGTCTTATATGCTTTTACTGTCTTTTATGATTTTAGTGAACATTTACATGAGTCCATTTTCGTTTTTCTCTTAGCATATCAATTATAAACTTTTTTTTTAAAAAAAAGATGAGTAACTTTTCTAGAATTTTCAATATCTATTCACAACTAATCCAAGTCTGTTTTCAAATAACACTATATCACTTTGGAGTGGTTCATGTACCTTACAAGAGAGGA